GGAAGGATTTGGGGGAAAACCCAGATGTACAGCGCTGAACAGAACAGGCACTAATCCCCGCTCCAGGGGCGGCGGGGAGAGCACCAGCTCCAAAAGCGCTCCCGGCTTGGCTCTGACAGCTTTAGCCTATGCAGACAGGAGAGGTTCCCAGGGGGTCCCATCCTGCCCCGGAGTTTGGGGTGAGCCGTGCCGCAGGAAGGGTGCCACAGCCAAGGGTCCCCCACCGCCGTCCTTGTCCGCTGGTGACAGCGGATGGGTTGTCATGGAAACGGCATCTGCTCGGCCTCGGCCCCCCGGGAGGCAGCCGGACCTCGGCAACATCCGCCGGCTACCATTTATTTTTAATAGGTTTCAGCAGCACCGGGTGGCTTTGTCTCTGTGAGGGCCCCTGCGCAGCAGCGAGTGCTCAGCTCCCCGCGACCCTGGGTCAGGAGGGGACAACCCACGTGTCTCCTGGTTCAGGTCCCTGTGGTTCCAGTGACAGGAGCCTCTCGTGGGGAGTGTAAACACGGTCAGATGAGCAAGTCCGAGTTCAGGCTGTACTGCTTTCACAGGCTGCTTCCACTGTCCCATCGTGTTTTGACTCAATGGAAGTTGGGAAGGGAGGATCAGGGACAGGTCCAGGCTGGTGAGGGCAAGCCCTGGAGCGCATGTCCATCACACAGGCCCTTTGCAGACCCCAGTCATTCCCTCTCCTCAGCCTGGAGTGAGGTCCCTGGGACGGCATCGCTGCCTGACTTGGCTGATCAATGCAGCTGCCATGGGGGATGGAGCATCTCCCCCAGGGAAGGGGGAACGTGGGGTCAGGCTCCTGCCGAGGGACTCAGTGGGGTCCCAGGATCACCCCGAGAGGAGCAGATACAAGGCAGGAGAGCAGCGCAGTGCTCTACGCCTTCCCCTGCTCACAACTGCAAGAGGAGCAGAAGGAATTGATACAGGATGCAGAGGATGGGGTGCTGGGAAAGGAGTCTGCTCCAGGGCTGGTCCCCAGTGTGTTGGCATGGGGCTGCAGCCCCCAGTGCTCTGGGCAACCAACCACGAGTGCCAGCCCGCTCCGCCAGTAGTGCCGGAGCTGCGTCAGTGGGGTCTCAATCCCGTGCCTGTCCCCCGAGATGCCAGCAGCATCCTGCCCTAAGAAGCCCCCAGGCGCTGGGCCAGCCCACGGTGCCTCCTTACGCCAGCACTGCCACCCTGCCAAGCCGCCCTCGCCCAAGGGAGCAGTGAACGGGACACCCCCGTAGCCCCATCCAAGCTCCCCGGGTCTGTGGCAGTGGCACACATCTGGGATGGGGGGTCACCCCGGAGTCCTGGCTCCCAGGCCCTGCCCCATGCAACGCTGCCAGGGCAGTGGTGTTGGCTCCCCAGCGGGACCCAGCTCAAAGCCACCGCGACACCCAGGGGGTGCCCAGCCTTGTGTGCAGAGCACACGGGAACGCCGAGCCCGTGCTCACGGCCGGCTCCAGTGGACAGGAGACATGACGCCATCCCTTATCTCTCCAGGGGGAGGGGAGGGGGTAAACGGCATCCTCCAGGCTCAGGTGCACCAGTGCTGGTAAAAGCTAATTTCGATGCAGAAGGTTCCCTGTACATTTGTCATTACTATTCATGCCACCATCAGGCTCAACGCTGCGAGTTAACCCTTTGGAGGAGGGACCATGGTGGATGTTTCAAGGAGGAGGAATAACTTAGATTTCCTCCTAGAAGAGCCCTTCCCATGGTGTTTCAGCCCTGGAGATGTTGGAGAGGGAGCTGGGGCAGGTTTGCTCTGAGCTGAGGCAGAGGGGCAGAACACTGGGGACAGGGTGGTCAGGCACAATGGGGACATGCCACCAGGAGACCTTCCGAGTGCTCCTGGGAGCAGGACCTGACCATCAGCAGGCACATTTCCTGCATCCTTTGCCACAAACGTTGACCCTCACAGGCAGCCCTGAGTTCCCATTCCCCTGGGCACAGGTCTGCTCCTGGCAGGTGGCATCACCAGTGCCACGGAGGGTCCCACGGTCCTCACATGGGGACCCTGCCAGCCCATCCCGGGGTCAGCTCTTCCCTCCCCTGGCCCTGCACTGCCTGACACTCTCTCCTCCCCTGTACAGTTTTCCAAGGAGAAATACATCCTCGACTCGTCACCGGAGAAGCTTCATAAGGAGCTGGAAGAGGAGCTGAAGCTGAGCAGCACCGACCTGCGCAGCCACGCTTGGTACCACGGCCGCATCCCCCGGGAGGTGAGGAGGGGAGGGGGGATGGCTCTGGGCACCCTGTGCTTGGGCTGCTCGGTGAGAGAACCCTGAGGCCGTGCAGGACCCCCAGCCTGTCCCTCTGGGAAGCCTCTGAGCAAGGGCTTCACTAGCTCCGAGCTGCCTGGTTTTGCCACGAGAAATGCCCTCCTGCAGCTCAGAACCAGGGGCAAGGGGAACAAGCCAGCCCCAGCCACCCATGCCCCCTGGTCCATCCAGCACGGCTGTGCCTGAGCCACTGCCCTGTCCCCTGCCAGGTGTCGGAGAGCCTCGTGCAGCGGAATGGCGACTTCCTCATCCGCGACTCGCTCACCAGCCTGGGTGACTACGTGCTGACGTGTCGCTGGCGCAACGAGCCCCTCCACTTCAAGATCAACAAGGTGACGGTCAAGTCCAGCGAGGGCCATACCCGCGTCCAGTACCTCTTTGAGCAGGAGAGCTTTGACAACGTGCCTGCCCTCGTCCGCTTCTACGTGGGCAACCGCAAGGCCATCTCTGAGCAGAGCGGAGCCATCGTCTACTGCCCCATCAACCGCACCTTCCCGCTGCGCTACCTGGAAGCCAGCTACGGGCTGGCCAACGGCAAGCATGGGGGATCCCACAGCCCCGCCACCCAGAAAGGGGGGCACATCAAGAGGAGGAGCATCACCATGACAGACGGCCTGACAGCAGACAAGATCACCAGGGCTGAGGGGTGCCCGACCAGGTGAGCATGCAGGCCCTTCCTGGCTCGGGTAGGCAGAGGAGCAGCCCCTGGGAAAGAGGCAGGGCCACGCTTGGTCCCCACTCCCTGGGTGTGGGGCAGGGGCTTGGGGATGGAAACTGTCCCCGCTCAGGTGCGGAGAGAGACCAGTAAAGGTACGGGGGGAGGAACCATCACCCGACTGGGACTGGGGTTTTCTCCGAGGCGCCTGCCAGCCATGCTGAGCTACCACAGCAGACACCCCGTGAGCAGACACAACTTTAGCATTGCAGGCCAGAAGCCAGAGAGTGTTCTACAATCATCCAGTGCAGGATTACCAGCGTGTTGGGGCTTGTCAGAGCCAGGGAGATGAGCTTTCCCAGGCAGATGCAAGGGGAGAGCCAGTCCCAGCCACCAAAAGGGCTTTTTTTGATGAAGGACCCTTTTAGATTTTAAGCCTCTCTGTTCAGACAGAGCATTTGCAAGGAGTTACCCAGCAGAGCTGAAATCCTGATAGGCAGGAGACTGATGGAGCTGTGCTGATGGGGGTCTGTACAGCCCCTAAATCACAGCCTCTGTGTGGCTGCTCTGCTTACGTTAACCTTGGAGAAGTTCAGCTTCTCTGGAGGTGGGGAAGGAGATCTTTTCACAGCTTGCTTCCAGCAGCCCCAGGCTGCCCAGAGCCTGGCAGGGCAGGCAGAGCCACACACATCCTCACAAGCAGCAGCTGAGGGGGAGCCCACCTACTCCTGCCCCCCCAGCAGGACACAGTCTGTCATCAAACCACTTTCTCACCGCCCCGACCTTCTCAGCCCAAGGGCAGGGTGAGAACGTGCCAGCAGAAAACAGACAACCAACTGTTATGGCAGGGAAAAGGAAAACACTCAGACTTCCAGGAGAGCATATGTGTTTCCAGAAGAAGAGCCCAGATCCATCAGTCTTTCCTCACCACTCCTATTTTCCCCAAACCCCTTATCACCACCACTGCTCTTCCATCCTCCTCCCACCACAGAGGACGGTGCTAAGACCGAACACATCACGGCAGCCCAGCCCTCACCCGTGTCAGGGAGGGCAGGGAGTTACCTGCCGTGTCTCCCTGCAGCCCTCCCCGCACTCAGCCCCCCCAGACACGGCATCGTTGACACACAGTGTCTGCGTCAGGCCCCACCAGCCCAGCACCCCCTGCTCGCTCTGCCGCTCCCGGAGCGCACGCACTGCAACTCACCAACCCAGGGACCTCAGGGCCTCCACCGGGGACCTGCTGGGCTCTGAGTCCAGCTTCCAGGCACTTCCCACCTCTCATAAGCTTTGGCTTGGAGCAAAGCTCACCTGACCATCCCGAGACAGCTCTCAGGTGGAAATGAGAGTAACACACGCAGTGTCAGGTACCACCCTGGAGCACAACACCAGAAAACGACTTCCCATGACTTCTTTGCCAGAGCTGCTTCCCCACAGGCCCCTAGAGCCAAGCAATCTTACCTTGGCATCATAGCATCCCTCTCCCCTGCTCCACGTGACCAACCTCCCCAGAGGCTGGGCTCTTTCTGCCCTATAGAGGTTCTGACCCCTTCTGCTCCCAGCTGCCTGTGGGGACTCAGCTCACGGCTCCACCTGAGCTCGTCACGGGTTCAGCTCGTTATGGAAGGAGGTGATGACCCCAGGGGAGGTGATGGGGCAGCAAACCCTCATCCCAGCCCCTCTGCCCTTGTCTGGGCCCTGCGTGCAGGGACTAACCTGCCCCATCTTCCCCCTCCCCAGCGTGTCCCTGCCCCACCACAGAGACATCATTCGCAACTGCGCCGTCAGCGTGGACCAGATCCAAGACCTGCACTCCCCGATGTCCCCCATCTCCGAGAACCCAGCGTCGCCCGCCTACAGCACGGGTAGGCATTGCCCCTCCGTCCCTCTGGGGATGGTGGGGACGGGGGTCAGGCTGGGCTTGGCACGGGTGGGATGCAGGGATGTGGAGAGGGGGACGGAGCTGGCTGTAAAGACGAGCCTGTGCATCACTGCCTGCTAGCAAAACCCTGTCTGGCTCTGCACAGCAGAGAAACCTGTCCTGACCAAGGGCTTGCACTGAGCGCGGGACCTTGGCCAGTCCTCAGCCACATCCTGTGCCACTGTCCTGGGACCGGCAGAGTCCATTTGGGCAGCACGGCTTTCCCCGAGCTCCGCGTCCCCGGGCTACCGCGTCCGTGGTCCCTAGGCGTGTAGGTATCTCCAGGTTCTGACACAGGGTCTCCTCTGCTCCCTGCAGTTACACGGCTAAAGCCACATGCCTGCCAAGCCACTGGGATTGTCCCGGCCTCTCCAGTCATAAGAAGGTCCAGCGAGCCCCAGCTGTGCCCGGGGACCAACAGCAAACCTCTGCCAGACCCTGCCCACAGCACCCACTCCACTCCCTGCCACGGCTATGCCCGTGCCTCCCCCTCTCCCTCTGTGAACAGCTACAGCGACCCGGACACGGGGCATTACTACCAGCTCCACCCCACCTCGCCCGTCAGCAGAGACCGGCCAGCTCGTGACACCAAGCAGCCGCCAACAAAGAGCTACGTGGAGAGGCTAAAGGTGGAGGAAGGACAGAGAGGGACTGTGGAGAAGGGCTCCGGGGAAGCAGAGGCAGGGCAGAGGCTGAAAGGAGAGCTGGACTTTGTGGGCTTTGTGCCCCCCACCATGGAGATGACCTCCTCCTTCAACCCTGCAGCCTTCCAGTCCTTGCTAATCCCCCTGGAGAACAAACCTCTGGAGATGGCCGTGCTCAAGAAGGTCAAAGAGCTGCTGGCAGAGGTGGACGTGAAGACGCTGGCCAAATTTTTTTTGGACTGCCTGGTACGGCCGGGGCCAGGCGGGAGGGACAGGCACCGCGACGCTCCGATCGCTCCAGGCTGATCTGAGCACCCCCGAGCATTGGAGCATCCCGCTGGGCTCTGCCACGCTGTGTCAGCCGAGGCAGGCAGGGGCTGGGCTGGGGGCAAGAGGCTGCCCGAGGATGCTTCACCCTCTCCCCAATTAACAAAGGTCTGATGAGCTCTTGCCTTTCTTGCCAGGTCGCCCGGATATTGGGTGTGACGGTGGAGATGCAGCG